CAGTTTTCCTCCTGTAGTAAGGGTGGGGTGGGCGATCCCAAGGGTGCACGGCTGGTGAGGCTGGAGATGACGGATGCAGAGACCCAGCATGTGCCTGCACACAGTGGGTGCTCAGTTGATAACTCATTCCTCACTCCTGATGTCGCTTGTTCCCAAGGTCAAGGAAGGTTCCTGGAGTTCTGATCGCGTGTCGGTGCCTTCGTCCTGCTGCTGTCCTTGCTTCTCTTCCTCCTCCTCCTCCGACACCGGCGTCGGGGCAAACACAGGTCGTCGTGAGTGGGGGCGTGGGGGACGCAAGGGCGCCCGAGTGGCGGCTCAGCACCCGCCAGGGGAGCAAACAGGCGGAACGTCACTTAGAAAAACCTGTCCCCGCCGGTTCCAGTCAGTCGCTGGGAGCCACCCGCAGCGCCAACGCGTGCGCAGTGTCAGTGTGCACCGAGTGGCTCAGCCTGTGCGCGTGCGCAGTGTCAGTGTGCGCTGATGTTTCAGCCTATGCGCGCGTCGCAGTGTCAGTGCGCAGAGTGGCTCATCAAACAATAAATCTCTCTCCCAGCACCCAGGTCCCCGGGCGCCCTTCATTCATTCACCCGACAGTGTTCACGGGGCTCATTCTCGCCCGGCTGCAGGAAGCAGCTGCAGACGCAGCAGGGAGCGAAGCTGCCCCAGCCTCCCTGCTCACCTGGGGGCCAGAGACGATGTGCACGTAGATGCAGTGGCCAGGGGTGCAAAGGGCCATTAGGGAACAAACCACAAGGAGCAGGACAGAATGCATGGGGCAGGGGGCCGGTCTGAGGTATGAGGGGAGGGCGTGTGATCAGGTGTCCTCTGAGGAGAAGCCTGAGTGCAGAGGACCGTAGCGACATCTAGTGGACGAGCACCTGCAGCGGAGGAAACCGCCAGTGCAAAGGCCCTGAGGCAGCAGCCTGCTCTGTCAGGACACGGGCCTGAGGCTGGGGCCAAAGGAGCAAGGGCCAGAGTGTGAGGACAAGAGGTCGGCACTGCAGGGAGGAAGCAGCCAGGCCCTCCAAGGACTTAGGAAGTCCCTGAAGATTCCATCAGGAAAGTAACATGACCAGATCACTCTGGAACAGTGTGAAAACTTAACTAAGGGAGGTCGAGTGGAAGCAAGGAGACCCCGTCACTGTCTCTCTGCAGCAGAGCCCACATGACAGACCCCCAGGGAGTGACACATGCCCAGGTGAACCACTCCAGACTCAGGCAGGGAGTGGCCTCCCCTCCCCTACCATCTGGGGAATTCCTGGACACGAAGGACAGACAGCAGGAAGGGGACAGGCAGATGGACAGTCAGGTGGGTTTTTTTCTTCCCCAGGAATCCAGTCTCCACCCCACCCCAACCACGTACCTTCCCTCTCACTCTCCCCACTGCAGGATGCCCCATCTGAAGACCCCCAGGACGTGACCTACGCCCAGCTACACACTTGGACCCCCAGACGTGGGACAACTGCACCTCCTTTGTCCCAGGAGGGAGACCCTCCAGCTGAGCCCAGCGTGTACGCTGCGCTGGCCATCCACTAGCCCAGGAGGGACCCAGACCCCACCCTGCACAGAGAGAGACTTGGGGACCCTGCAAAGCATAGGAGCTGCCCCCAGGACACTAACCAGCGAACCCCAGCCTGGACCCCTGACAAAGACCACCAGAAGGTTGTGGGAACCTTTGAGAGTCACCTGATTCTAACATCCCTACATTTTGGAAATAAAGCAACAGACTTGTCAATAATCAATGAGTTAAATGAGAAAACAAAACAGAAGTGCAAGAATGTTTTACATTGAGTGATAATGTCGCTATTACCCATCAAACGTATGCAATGGAAATTAAGAATAATGAATGAATATATTAGAAAAAGCCTTAAAAAAAAATCAATGACCATGTCAAGAGTTTAGAAAAATAACAAATGATTCCAAATCAAGGTAGAGGGAAAGAAATAATGAGTAACTACTAATGAAGACAAAAAAAAATGGAGGAAGGCTTGGCTCGGTGGCTCACGCCTGTAATCCTAGCACTCTGGGAGGAGCCAGAGGCGGCGCGGATTGCTTCAACGGTCCAGGAGTTTTGAAACTAAGCCTGAGCAAGAGCAAGGCCCTTGTCCTCCTACTAAAAATAGAAATTTATTGACCAACTAAAATATTAGAGAAAAAAATTTTAGCCGGGCGCACTGGTGGCACATGGCCTGTAGTCCCAGCTACTTGGTAGGGCTGAGGCAGCAGGATCACTTGAGCCAAGAGATTGAAGTTGCTGTGAGCTTAGCTGAATGCCCACGGTACGCTCCACTTCTAGCCTGGGCTCAACAAAGGTGAGACTCTGTCTCAAAAAAAAAAAAAAAGGGAGGAAAAGTCATTAAGCCAAAAAGTTCCATTTTTGAAGTGTTAATTTACATTTTGTAATCCTAGCCACACAATGACCAAGAAAAGAGGAGCCAAGCAAACACATTTCCATATAGCATGGAATAGTGGGCACACGACAGACCCTACACAAACATCTTTAAAAAGACTAACAAACTGAGGAATAATTTTATACCAATATTAATTAGAAAATATAGATTAATGGATAAATTTACTAAATAACATGAAATAGAAAATCTTAACCTAAAAAAAAAGTGAAAAAGCCATTCTAACAAGGTGGGAGGTGATATCTCATTGTGGTTTTTAATTTGCATTTCCCTGAATGATTGTGGATGTTGAGCCATTCTTTCATGTTTGGTTTGGCCATTGTCTATGGTTCCTTTCTAAAACTTTCTGGTTCAATGTCTTTTGGCACTTTTTAATGGTTGCCTAATTTTTTTTTCCTTGCTGGATTTGTTTGAGTTTTCTTTGGTAGACCATTTATCACCTTAAGTGAAGTATCTCAAGAAGGGAAAAACAACCACAAATTTCTCCTCCTATAAATTTGGAAACTAACCAATGGGCAACACAAATACATAAGAGGAAAGTAAAATCTTGGAAATCAAGTTGGGTGGGTGGGAAAGAAAGGCAACCCCAAATCTTAACCAGGTGGCAAAAACCCATCCAACAGGTAACAGTGAACACTAATTCAGGTGATGGGGCACACTCATAGCCTGACTCAAAGCCATGTAATCAAAATAATATTCATTCTTACTGGGGTGCGGTGCACACCATCTGGGGGATGGACACACTTGAAGCTCTGACTCGAGTGGGCAAAGGCAATATGTGTAACCTTAACATTTGTACCCCTGTAATACGCTGAAATAAAATAATTTTTAAAAAAATCTGTACCTCTTTAATATTTTGAAATAAATAGAAATAAATAAAACGAAAAAGAATAAATAGAAAATCTGAATCATCTTACATATATTAAATGCATTGACTCTGTGATCAAACATTTTTCCCCAGCATAAATCCCAGTTGAGGAAGCTTTGTTGGTGATTTCTTCCAAACACTTAGACACTTACGAAACTCCCCCCACACACACACATATTTATAAAAACTGTCTCTGAGAATAGAAAAAGAGGAAATATACCCCAACACATTTTATCAAGACAGGAAAAAATTGATACTAAAGCCTGACACAAAACGGGACAGTCACAGGAAGATCTCTCACATGAACTCAGATGTAAATCTTCAAACAAGTATTCACAAACAAGATTCCGCAACATACACAAAGGACAATACATCACAACCACAGCGGTTTGTTTTGTTTTACTGATGACAAAAGTAGCCCAAAATTCAAATCAATCAATATAATTCAGTACGTGAACAGAATACATAAAAATTATCATCTCACTAGAGGTAGACAAAAGTTTTTGATCAAATATGCCAATAATTCATAATGAAAATAAAAACCCATCAGGAAGGAAGGAGCATTTTCTATAATATATAGGCATATGTTTAAAAATCTACACCAGACATCCTTTTTAAAGGTGAGAACCTGGAGTCTTTCCCCCTATCACTGGGAATGACTGGAGTATGTTCGTGATGGCTTCTTACTCAGCAGGGCACTGGAGGTATCAACCAATTAAATAAAACAAATGTGATAAGCACTGAAATGGATGAGAATAATATTATATTCCTCCCAGATTCCACAATTGTATGCACAGAAAATCTTAAATAATATAAAGATGTATTACTCAAATTTAAGAGGAATTTTCCAATATCACTGGGATAGAATCAGTATATAAAAATCAATTGCATTTCAGACTTCAGGTTTTAGACCAAGATGGAATAGACAGATGTCTCCCAATTCTTTTTTTTTTTTTGAGACAGAGTCTCACTTTGTTGCCCAGGCTAGAGTGCTGTGGCATCAGCTTAACTCAACAGCAACCTCAAACTCCTGGGCTCAAGCGATCCTCCTGCCTCAGCCTCCCGAGTAGCTGGGACTACAGGCATGTGCCACCATACCTGGCTAATTTTTTTCTTTTATCTATATATTTTTAGTTGTCCAATTAATTTCTTTCTATTTTTAGTAGAGACAGGGTCTCGCCCTTGCTCAGGCTGGTTTTGAACTCCTGACCTTGAGCAATCCACCCGCCTCGGCCTCCCAGAGTGCTAGGATTACAGGCATGAGCCACCGCACCCGGCCTCCCAATTCTTGATTTTAGCCCAGTGAGACTGATTTTGGACTTCTCACCTCCAGAATTGTAAGATAATAAACTCATGTGGGTTTTCTATTTATTTATTTTGTTAGAGATGGGATCTCGCTATGTTGCCCAGGCTGGAGTGCAGTGGCTATTCACAGGCACAGTCATAGTTCACTATAGCTTGGAACTCCTGGGCTCAAGCAATCCTCCTCCATCAGCCTTCTGAGCAGGTGGGACTATATAGGTGCATACCACTGTGCCCAGCTTCTGTTTTTTGTTATTTGTCTTTTGTTTTTTGGACATGCAGTCTCACTCTTATTGCCCAGGCTAGAATGCCGTGGCATCAGCCTAGCTCACAGCAACCTCTCTGGGCTCAAGTGATCCTCCTGCCTCAACCTCCCGAGTAGCTGGGACT